GTGTGTTATACTTATAGTGAGATGGGAACTTGTGGCTAGTAGTAGTAAACAACATGCTAACTAAATAGCTATGTTATTTTTAGTTGTACAAGCATATCGACCTTGTGACTTGTCGCAAAATGCTTCACAGTTGAAGTTGTATGCAGGAAAAAATAAGGATGAATTTAGATTACTTTAACTAATTAAATTTACTTAGTTAAAATTTTAAAAGGAATGTGGCTGCGGCAACTGTACAGTGTACGCGGTCTATGTATAGTATTACTATTAGTAATAGTACTACTACTAGAGCTATTGTTGTTGTTGTTGTTATTCGTTTATCCTCCTACTTCACGAGCTATGGTTAAACCCTAGGGCTAGACTAGACTCTAGAGCGGCGCTATGCTCATGCTTGATATTAGCTCTAAGAAACGCTAGGGTTAGAATACCCCACAAGACTAACGTATTGACGTTACTCGTTAGTCACGCAACCTGGTCGGGTTAGCTTGATATTAATTTACCTCACACAAAACGCTACAACTGCTTGGTTTCCATTCATCTCGCCTACAATTTATGAGCCATCTCTTATTTCTCTCTGGGTCTCTCGGAAACCGATACAACAAATACCCTTTCTCCGAACGATTTTGACAGTTTGGAGCAGCGCATCCAGGCATAATCACATGTTTCAAAAACTTTAGTCTGCTAGACAGATAATATGCGAATGCCGGTGGCGATTCCGCACTGCAACAAGGTCGCCACCTATTCCTCTTTGAAAGTAACTATAGAGAATTATCTGATACATCTAGGGTGTAGGTCCATATAACTAGTATTTCTTTCCTTAAAAAATTCTTTATTTTTAAACTTGTAATAGAGACTCTAAAAATGCAATGGTATGAATATTGTTTATTATTATCATTGATGGAAGCGGCCCTCCTAATTTTACCCGCCATTTTAGATTAATGGAGGCTTTTGTTCTTTAGTTTACTTATTTCAAGTTAAGCCCCGTTGCTTTTTCAATTCCAAACATATTTATGTGCAAATTGTTAAGGTAAAGAGTCGGCACATCCGGTTGAAAGCCATGTATATCAAACAGGTATGATAATATTGTGGTTAAACAGAAATTGTCAGAAGTAGCGGCTCGGCCTGAGGTTTTCAGTAGTAAATATTTTCTTTCAATCTTTGCTGTCAGGGTACCATTTGCGATAAAATATCACAGGGACTTGGGCCGTTTCAAAAACAAAGAGATGGCGAAAAAACACAAATTTCATTTACTAACAAAGTCTAAGCGTTTCTGTACTCTATCTTATAAATCCACGTAAAAGCCGACATGATTAGCATGATTATGCATTAATGCTCCACAACAACAGACTCGGTGCAGTGTCTGCGTGCATGTCACTCTGCACTACCCCGTAGAATGATAGAACAGGTGCGATATAATCCCTTTAGACTTTGAAGACTTACGAGGTTAGCATACACGCCAACCCTACCGCTTTACGCGGTAGACTACCGCTTTTTGAAGACTTCTACCGCCTACCGCTTTTAATACTATTCCTACCGCATTGCAAAATATTCAGTTACAAGAAAAACGGGGATGCGGTTTTCCGCATAACGATTCTCTCTACTACATCTGCCATCGCCGCGGGGCGTGTAATTACGCGCGCCTGCTCGGCCCGCACACTGTGTGTGTGTCATGACACTCTGTGTCTGTGTGTCATGACACTGTGTGACATGAGTAAATCCATGTATGTATCCATCTTATTTTTTTCATTTTATCTCTAATAAATGATGTATTCTATTGCAGTCCAATTACTCCCCAGAATGCAGGAGAAGGCACCATTTAGCACCATTTTT